AAAAAGCAGAGAACCAGAGCTCAGAGAAGCCAAGCAATCGCCCAGAGTCACTCAGGGTGCCAGAGTGACAAAAGCACCCCTATCAGTGGCAGCTTCAGAAGGGACCCTAGCATCCACGGAAACAACAGCAAACAAAGCCCCCCGCTGGCTTTCAGGGGCAGTGTTCCAGCTTTGGGGCGGCCCGAGGCCAACACCCACCTGCTCATGGGTCGTCGAGGACTTGAGGGGAAGGCAGGGCACACTCCAGCTGGCTCGCCCCCCAGCTCTTTCTGGAGCTATCCTTTCAGGCTGACAGCCCAGCCCCTTCCGGTTCACTATCAGAAATAGTTGCGACAAAAGTCCCTCCCATCCCTGAAAGTGGCTTTTCAAAAAATGCTTCAAGGCAGACACACAAAAAGGTGTGAACATTCGTCCAAGCCCCGACTCAGGCAGATGACAGATAGCTCCCCACGGCACACAGGAGTCTGCCTGCCCACTTGGCTCTGCCGGTCAGTCCCCTCCGGGCCTCAGTTTCCCCATCTCAGCTGACCCTGTGATTACTTTTATTACCCCCCCTTAACCTCAGAACCCTGTTTTCCAATTGAATCTTGCTCAGAATAGCAATCTAAGAGTTATAGAAATGGAGCTTCTGTGGCTGACATGGACTGGCTCCCATATGCTCAGCCTCCCAGTGTCCCCAGAATGACCAACCCCAAGGCACCCTGCTCTGGACCCCAGGGTTCCAAAGGACCTAGTTGAAAACCCCCAGAATAAATGACCATGGTCCTTCCTGGTCATTGAAATGAAGTTCCAATCACCACAGGTACCAGGGAAAAACAAACTAAGCCCTTGATGCTGACTTGAGTCAGGGGTGCAGACACTTGGCAACCTGCAGGGGAAGGGAACAAAGCCACGTGATACCAAACCACACTGGACCTGGGGGGGGGGGGGGGGGGGGGGGAGGAGGCCCAGACTCTCATCCCAGGGGGCAGAAAGAGCAGCCCTGACTCAAACCCCTCAAGTCACAGAGCCAAAGTGTAAAGCGAGCTGGAAGGGACCACTTTATACCAAATGAACCTCCCCATCCCCCCACCCCTGCATAAAGGTGGAAGGCCTGAGGCTCAGAGAGAACAGCAACTGGTCTGAGGTCACACAGAGGCTGGTGGCAGAGGCAGGCCTGGCGTCTGGGTCTCTTGGAGGCCCATTCAGAGAACTCTCCACTTGTTGCAAGTTCAGAGATTCAGCTGGAATCTCCCAGGAAAAGCCCCCAGCTTGCAAACTCAGAACAGGATATCTGGGTGGCGCTGGGTGGTGACAGAGCAGAAATGTTTGTTTTGGTTTCCATATCAGTGCTTGACAACCTTGCTGGTGTTGTTACAGTTTCAGCAACCACATTTTCCTCCCAGTAAAGAGCTCGGAGCTCATCAGACCAAGGCCAAGTCAAAGCACTGGTGAGCAGGGCTGGGGCTGGGGGTCCCCGGCCAGGGACTCTGGTTCAGGTTGGTGTTTCTGCCAACCAAAATTCCTGTGCCATTGCTGATGGCACGTGAGATGATGGGAGGTGGTAAACAGGTGACTTTTTAAATTTAAACTTTATTCACCCAGGTGAATGCGTAAACCAAGGCAGTGTATTCGCACAGTGGAATATTACTCGGCAACATAAAGGAAATACTACCGATCCATGATACAACGTGGACGAACCTCAAAAACAATACATAAGTAGGAAAAAACAGACACAAAAGACCACCTAATGCATGATGCCATTCGCATGAAATGTCCAGAAAAGGCGACTCTAGAGAAACAGAGAGCAGATCAGTAGTTCCCCGGCTGGGGCGGGATGGGGGTCAGCTGCCCGTGGGCATGAAGGCTCTTCAGGGGGAGATGCGAGTTGTCCTGAAACTGGATGGTGGTGATGGTGGCACAACTCTGTGGATTCACTAAAAGTCACTGAATGTTGCGCTTACTGTGGGAGCATTTTAAATAAAGCTGTTAAAAGTATCTTACATAAGCAGTAACACAGGGGTTGGCACGTGGATACGGCCACAAGTGTCATGGAGGTGGGAGCGGAAATGTCTCCAAACTGGAGAGCGCTGAGCCACACATCTCAGGCTGCCCTTCGGGAAAGCAAGTGGGGTCTCCGAGCTGTGTGCTCCCTCCCCCAGGTGGACCAGAGGTGATCCTGCAACCTCCCCTTTCCTGGCGCAGGCTCCTTTCTTGGCTCACTGCTTGGGGCTCCATGCTAGACACCCTGGAAGAACCTGAGGCCTTTGGAGGCCAGGGCAGACGCCTTTGGTCTCGGGCCTCAGTCTGCAACTGCTCGCTCTTACGGACAGGAAATCAGAAGTGGGCCGGGATCACAAACTCAGATTTATTTATTGCGAAGGCTGGGAAGATCACCTAGTCCAGAGGCTTTTAAACTTTTTAAAAAGTTGATCATCTGCCCACCCTGCTCACAAAAGGAAATTCTTACGAGAAACCCAAATATAGAAACACGTAAAACCAGAGTGTTGCTTCTGTAAATTTATATGGGCTCGAATATGTAACAGCTAGCGATTCTGAATTCAGCCACTGGGGTCGAAGAGGCTATTCTGATCTGTTAATATTTAGAATTGGGATCATGGGTGACAGCGCCACATTCCATTTAATTTTATCTCCAGTTTTGGCCGCAGAGCATCAGGAATCTCCTGACTCACACAGACGAATAGCTGCGAATGGGAACAGTTTTAGCAGGTTGCTTCGCAATCTCAAAATACTCTTCAGACAAACAGAGATGGCGGAAGGAGGGCTTGCACCTGCGTCCGATTACTAACAGGTTAGTGCAGAAGGGAATTTGATGGGTTAACGTGCAGAACTTAAGAGTGAATGAGCACATTTTTATGACCATACTAACATGTTAATGTGTTTTGAAATATTCATTTTTGTTGAATATTCAAGGAATCCCTAAGGCATCTCTGAGGAAGCCTGGAGCTTGGAGGTGATATACCACCCACCTCCTCCTTCACAGATAGGGAAACTGAGGCCCAAGTCAGGGAGTATTACTTGCATTGGAAAAATCTGACTTGAGCTCTGAATCAACTTCAGAAAAGATGTGTCTCCCCAGTTCACCAAAAAAAGGGAAGAGAAGGTGCACATAGCTCCCAGCGGCGGGAAGAGAGACACCGGCCCTCCACCTGTCTCGGCAGCACCCGTCTCATTCCAGGCCAGTGCCAGAGGCTGACATCACCCCCCCACACCCTGAGTGCAACTTAAACAAAGCATTGCACAACACCAACCTACCTCTCCTTAAGACTGACTGGGCACAGTTTTTCCATCCCCTTAGTAGCCAGGTCCAAGAGCACACACACAATAAAACAAACCACACACACCTGGGCATGACCACACACTCGGCAGTGGCAGACAGAAGGGCCCATCCCTCCGAGGAGTTTCACCATCCAGAGCAAGTCCCTGTTTCCCCACCCCACCCACCCAGCGAAGCTGTCCACAGCGAGCAGAGAGGCCTCTCCACGGCCAGGCACCAGGCCATTCTCAAGCTCTCAAGAGAGACAACCAGCCCAGAAGAGTAGCTAGGGTACAGTGGGGTGCAAGACCTACCCCAGAAAGCCAGGCCCTGCATGAGAGAGCCCTGAGACTGCAGGTATCTGTGTCCTGCCAGCCTGACAGACACTACTATCTTGAACGACATCAACTTGATTCTTTTACACCTTCCAAGAAGCGTCACCATCCTACTCTCCCCTCGTGCAGCTGGGAGTGAATATCATTGCTCCTTTTCTCGGGTGAGCAAACGGGCTTCCAAGTGGTCCAACAACCCCACTGGCTGGTGACGGAGCTGCCATTTGATTCGAATCCTGACCAGTAGAGGAAGAGGAGGGAGCCCCATGACCAACTCCCCTGGCAGACTCTGTGCTGCTGTGAGCACCAGGACCCAGGGAGTGGAAGGAAAGGTCCTTCTCAGCACATCTTCCAAATCTAGGAGTTTGGAGCCCAGGTTCCCAATGCAGAGTTGCCCATGCTGGGACAGCAGAGGGCCCACGCCCACCCAGGCCTGAGATGCTACAGACAGACCCCTCTCCTCTTATGGGAAAGTGGAGCAGACAGCACCATCAGCCAGGCTGTAGGCAGGAAACAATGTTAGTTTCCCACCTGGGTAATCTGGGCTGGGTACTAATGTTCTGGCTAGTCCTGTAGGTAGTCTGTCCCGAACTCTACTCAGAAATGGTGGTCTGGGTCCATTCACTGTCCAGTCTTCCAGTCCAAGGTTATCTCCTCTGGGGGGCCTTTTGGGGCCTGAGTTTGCTGGGGCCCAAGAAACCATGATAATGAGGGTACGGGGGGAAGAGGATTGAAGGGAGGTATTTTTAAAAGCTTGTGGCCAATCTGATGTAGGGCTGGTTATCCAGCCCAGCGAGCTGTACCTTACAGAGATGGAGCAAGAACACAGAGCCTACGCAGCCCCAGAGAGTGGGGAGAGATCCATCCAGCTTCAAATACATAATCTCATTTAATTCAAGGGAAAAAAGGTCAGTGGGTTACTTTAGAGTGTTTTTCTTTTCACCCATGGAGGGAAGGGAGCTCACCTCTACATCCTTGAGAAAGTACCTGGGCTAGGAGACAGACGACCCAGGAGGTACTTAAAATCACTAGTTCAAATCCCGGCTTCACTATTTATTAGCCAAGACACCTTAGGCAAGTCACTTGCATCTCATCTATGAAACGGTGGTAAGAATGCCCTACACTCTGAGTTGCCGCGGTAATTAAATAAGATTACTTAAAACATCGATAGCTGTTTGGTCACCTACAAAACAAAGAACGTGTCTGGTCCAGCGTCGGGTTGGATGTGTCCCCTGCTGTAGTCAGCAACCGCCCCCATTCTTGGAACTAGATAACTGAGCTTTCCCAGAGAAGGCAGGGTACTCTGCAAACAGTTTCCAGCCCACCTGCTAGGACCAGCTGGCTGCCACCTGCCCCCCACCCCGAACACACACATTCCTCGGCCGCGCGAGGAGAGGGGGCGCCGCACTCACCTCCGCTTGTACTCGTCGCGCTCGCGCTTCACCTTGGCCAGCACGTTGTAGAGCGCGCGGATCTCGGGCGTGATGGTGTCGATCTGCACGCCCACGCCGTCGGGATGCACCCACGACACGCCGGGGCCCTGCACTGTCTCCACGCCGCCGCCGCCCGTGCGCCGCACCTGCGTGTAGCTCCAGATGGTCCCAGGCAGGCGGCCGTAGAGCTGCGGGTGAGAGCCGCCGCCGGGGGGCAGGCCGCCCAGGGCCACGGCGTTGGCATTGGTGCCGGCCGCCGCGCCGCTGCCGATGCCCTGCCCGCTTCCGGGCGCTGGTGGCCGTAGCAGATCCGGCCCGGTCTGCACGGCCTGCTCGCGAGTGAATGTCCTGTAGCGCAGCCGCCGCTCCCGCTCACTCTGCTGCTGCTCCAGCTGCTTCTCTAGCAGCCGGTTGCGCCGCTCCAGCTCATGCACCTTAGCCAGGAAACAGCGGAAGCGCACGTTGAGCCCCTTCAAGAGGTGGATGTTGGAGCCCAGGTCGTCCCGCAGTGCCGCGGTCACTGGTGACGGCCCTGGCCCGGCCCCTCCGCCGCCGCCGCCACCGCCGGGGCAGCCCCCGCCACCGCCGCCGCCGCCGCCCGGCGGACAGCCGAAGGCCAAAGCCATCTCTCCGAACAGCAACGAGTTCACCATGCGCCGGCTGCGCAACTCAGGGCCCCGGGCCCGCGGCTCCAGGGGAGGCTCCAGCTCCGGGCAGGGCTCCCGGCGCGGCCGGGCCAGGTTGGGCGCGGGCTCCAGCGCGGCCGGCCAGGCGGTTCCAGATGTGTACCAGATGCGGCCTCCGCAGCGACTGCGAGCCGGACTGCCCCCGGATGTGGGCGCGGAGGCAAGGAACGGGATTCAGGCTGCGATGGAGGCCGCGGCAGCTGCTCGAGGTAGTGAGGGTCGCGGATACCGGCGCCGGGGCTGTCAGAGACGATGTGGAAGCGCCGCGGCAGCAGCGCGCAGAGGACTCTTGGCCGGCACTGCCCCTCTGCGGCGGACCCCGCCCACTGCAGAAACAGACCCCGCCCACAATAGCCCCGCCCACCGCACCTCCTGCGGCGCTCCCCATCCCCGGGGCCCCGCCCATGAGACGCTCAGCGTTGGGCCACGCCCATGGAGTCTGGCTCTGCCCACTCCCGGACTTCTCCGCGTTCTCGGCTCCAATGACACGCTGCCTGCAGCTCTGGCTCCGCCCAGGTCCTCCCATACCACCCCTCCCCTGCTCAGCTCCTGCCTCCCCGCGTGGCTCTGATTCTTTGCTGGGGACACGTACTGCAGAGCTGCACCGGGCACGCGGTTAGCTGGAGCCGCCGCAGAGCCAGCACGGCTTCTTAAAGGGACCGGCAGCCTCGGCAGCTCTCGTTTCCCCCTTTAGGTAGCCCTCGCCACCACGTCTTCTGCCATGTTCTCTATTTCACTTCTCTCTCACCCCAATTCTCCATGCTCAAATTCCCATGGACTGAGGAAGACCTCCGTCTGGAAGGGCTAGGGGACCTTAGTATTCGAAGGTGCATCCTCACCCCACCCCCACTTTACCCTGGGCGGTCTAGATCGACCTTCCCAGGATAAGGCTGCTACTCCTCCTGCACGTTCCCCACGCGGTGGACTCTGGCAGGCTCCTCGACCACGTGTCCCCAAGATCCGCCTAGGCATTGCAGAGCCCTCTAGTCCCCACAGCCCATGGAGGCGCCAGGCCTATTCCAGAAGGCAGGGGGAGGGAGAATGAGTGAAGACCATCCAGGAATATGACACCCACCTGCTCAGTCTGAGCTGCTCTTGCTCCCCTAACCGGAATGACCATTTCCCCACCATCGTTCACTCACGCACTGAGATGAAGCTGACCCCAGAGCTGCGGTCCATTTCATTGAGCTGCTCAAGGGGCAATATCTGGAAGTAACCCGTCTGGAGGGCACAGCCAATCCGAGGATGCATTCATTCATTCTTTCTTTCATTCATTCAAATCTGTTTTTCAGAGCTACCACCCTAAAGTCCAAATTCTCCAATCTGGTGTAGCTAGAATCAATTTGCAAACATCTATGATTTTTTACGTGTTAATAATAGCTCCCATTATGGAGTGCTTAGTATATGTCGGGTGCCATATTAGTTATTAGCCCCATTTTACAGAGGCCACTGAGACCAGAGGAGCAGCAAACAGTCCCAAAGCAAATGCTCTGACTGCCCTTAGGACTATGCTGGCCTCTTGTCCATTTCCACCTTTGATCCTCACCACAAACCTCAGAGGGGAGGTGCCCCCCACCTTGAAATGCCTGTGGGTTGCACTGCGCGCACTTAACCAGATATGTGGCATTGTCCAGATTCTTCTGGACACATTTTCTGAATTGCAATTTAATATTTGTCTTGTTATTAGTGTTTGTATTTGCCTTGTCTCATTGAGTATAAGCTTGAGGGCAGGTACCCTGTTTTACGGGGACAATGGCTTTGTCTTCTCAGCGACAAAAGAGACACAAAGGCAATGTGGGCTTGCTCTAGGGTGAGGTCAAGGCTGTAGTGTTTGTCTGCTGTTTTTGATGCAGTCACAAGGGCAAACCTTCCACATGTTTCCTTCCTTCACCCCCAGCTCCTTGCTTCCTTCCTTTCAAAATAGGCTCACCTTTGCCACACTCAGCGTGAAACTGGCCTGTCCTGAAACCTTTCTCTGTTTATCCCAACCGTGCATGGTCCCAGCTCTTTCTTTACTCTTTTGTTCTCTCATGTCTTGGTGATTTTCTTGTTTATCTAAACGAAAAAGTCAAAACCCCTTTGTCTTAAAACAGAAGTTCATGGACACCCACAAGGGGGCTGAGGGTGGAATTCTGAGGTGTCCACAACATTGAGATGGACAAAAATCGTATCTTCATTTTCACCAATTTCTTAGCATTTCCTTTGATCAAAAATGCAGGCAAAGTCCTTGTGGTTTTACCACTAGTAGAAATCACAGCTCTTTTCATATCACACTTCAGTTACTACAGATATCTCAAAATATTGTTTAAGCCACCGTAATTCTGAAATTAAGATCATATCAGGCTCACCACTAAATCTTATATAATGTATGAAGAGAGAAGCACATGTTACTATATCACAAAAGTTTTTAAAACTTTGATAACTATTTTAGTAAGAATTGTTTTCATTGTCATCTGAATGCAATTTTTAAAAATGATTCTGAGAAGGGATCTGCAGGCTTCACCAGATGCTCCAGGAGCCTGCAAGGGCAGACCTGGGGGAATGGTTCCCGGCAGCCTTTTCTAGCAAGCGTCTCTGCTGCTAACAGAATTGCCTTGGAGTTGGGCTGGGAAACCCTGGGGAGGGCTGGGGGAGCAGGGTACCTGTCCCTGTCCTGGGCACTGAAGAGAGTCAGACAGTCCACAGTCATTTATTGAGCAGCGGCTCGGACCAGACCCTGCCAGAATGCTGGTGAAATGGTTGTGAGCAAGAACTCAAGGAGCTCTGGGGAAGCTAATGAAGAGAGACAGCCCCCAAGACCATCCCGAGACGTGGGAGGGGGTTCAGAGGAGGGAAACCTGACCCGGAGCAGATGGCTGAGCAGAGAGACCAGGCGATCGGAAGGAAATGGAGGAAGTCACACCTGGACTCCAAGTGACTTCCCACTGAGTCGTAGAAACAGGGGAAGAACAAACAAAATGGCCAGAACATAGTTCTGTGACCTCGTAAGTGCAAAAGTGAGATGCTGTGTATCTCCATCTTTGTGGGTTAGATGAAATAAATGGGTACAATTTACCCGTTTCAATGGTTTTTAGTAAATTTACCAAGTTATGCAACTATCACTGTACGTCCATTTTAGAATATTTCATCTCTGCCGATAAGATCTCACAAGCCCATTTAGTGTTACGCCCTATTTCCAACCCCCGCCCAAGGCAACCACTGATCTGCCTCTGTCTCCATAGGTTTGCCTTTTCTGGGCATTTTGCATGGCTGGAATCACACAATACTTGTTCTCCTGAGTCTTGATTCTTTCACTGAGCTTAGAGGTTTTGAGGTCAGCCCATGTCATAACATCGGTAAGGCATTCCTTTTCACTGACAATCTCTTTTTAAATGTTGATTGTTGCAATTTGTCATTCATTACCTTACTGACTTTTCTGCACTTCAGTTCCCACTCCGGAAACAAGACTAATAAAAATATCCATTTCACTGGGTGGTGGTACCGGTGAAATGAGTTAATACACGTAAAGTCGGCATGTAGTAAATACTAACAAATATTAGCTATTTTCCCACAAGCATTTTCAATCTTTTTGCTTATGCGAATGTGGAAAGCCCATAAATGTATCAAGAGCAGGAAAAACATAAGCATCTCAAAGGTCCCGCACCCGGCCACCCCCTCTGGCATCTGAGTCCTCCTGCCGCCAGGAGAACAAATGCCTCTCTCTGTTGTGTCCCCCCACCCTCGGGCTACAGCTTCTAGAACATTCTCATCAGGTTTCTTCACGGAGAAATGAAAGAGAGCAGTAAAACGTGACAGCACAGAGGAAAGGGCGTGGCTGCAAGGCCCTCATGATGCTACAGGTGAAAATTAATCCTTTAAACAAAACAGCAAATTCTTGAGGTGTCCCATCTCTCCTCCCCGAAAACAATAATGACGAGAACAACCAGAGCCAAGAAATAAAAACCCAAAGCTGGCAAAAAGGGCAACTCTGCCACGCCTCAACAGCCGTGGCACGTTGCTGGACCTCATCCCTCCTGGGCACCTCCGGGCTTACAAGTGGCTTACGGTGCCTGCTGGCTCAACAATTATTCTGGGTGGGTTGGCCTTCCTGGAAAAGGGCGTGGGTTTCACTGGCGTCAGGGCTCCAGAGTGTCCCGGTGGCTACCCAACAGTGATGTTGGTCAACAGCCATGGGGACGCCCAGGTTCCTTCCGGCACCTTCCCCGAGCTTCCACAGGCCTTTCTTGGGAAGGCCAGTTGGTCAGTGCTGTATAATCTGGCCACGAGGAGGTGTGGTTATGAGCAAGGGATCCAGATTCAAGCCCCATCCGTGACCGAGGACAAGTGACCCCACTGCTCTGTGCCTCAGTCCCCCTCTGGACCACCAATGGAGTGGTCATGTTCCCTGTGAAGATTAAACCAGTCCCTGTGTGTAAGAAGCTCAGAGCAGAACCTGGCACGTGGTAAGTGCTAGCTGTTTTGAGCCAACATTCCTCGAACCTCTAGTATGTGACAGGCACCATTCTAAGTGGTGGTTTGAGCTCCACGTGACCGGAAGTCAAGGCCAGGGGTTTCAGAGGCTTGACCAGGGCCATGCTGGATTACTCTAGGGGGAGCCACGAGTTTGGGGTGGCCGGCTTGCTCTCAGGCCTTATTCTCATAGGACAGGCATCTGTTGAACATCTCTTTTACCCCACCTCTCACTAAAACTTCACATGATAAAGACCCCTCTTACAGATAGGGAAACTGAGGCTTGGGAGGGGTGAAGGGACCTATCCATGGCACCGCTGAGCTCCGAGCCCAGTTGAACTCCGAGCCCCATCCATCACACTCTCACTGAAGCTGCTTCCTCAACAACTCAGAGGTGGGACATTCAAACATAGACCTGAGGGCTGAGCTGCTGAAGTCGTTTCCACCCTCCTATTCCACAGCGCAAACCTTCAATGAGTGGAGAGAGGTGCAGAGAAGCGAGGGGCATGGGCATCATCGAAGGAGCCCAGAGCCAAGATGAGAAGCAGCAGCGCCTTGCTCTCCTGCCCCTGGGCCTTTGCGCATGCTGATTTCACCTCCAGAAACATGGTCTCCCTCCTCGCTAGCCAGCGAGTTTTCACTTATCCTTCAGATCTTAGCTTCGGCCTCTGTCTTCTTTGTCACTTGCTGTCTTGTTTGACTGTAACAAGGTACAACCTATGTTCAGGAAAGTGCCTCAGTGTTACACGTCCAGCTCAGCACATTCCTACCTATGCACACCCCGATGCACTCACCTCCCAGATCCCTTCCCACACACCAGCAGGCTCCCCGGAGCTCCCTTTC